ATTTCATGTTTTTGTTAAACTTCCAAACATAGAACATAGTACGTAAACATAGACTTATGAATGTTTGTCAGCTGAGTACGGGTCAGAATCACATGAATTTACTAAATAATATTACTAAATACATTAAATTGGACTACTGACAACTGTCAGTAGCATCTGATACACACGAGATTCGAGTTTCAAACCTCTCCACGGTCTTTTATTCCTTTCTACGCCATTTTAAATCAGCTGTTCGGTATTTTGTATCGAGTATTTTGATTGGCCAATGGCAACGAAACCGCAACGTTTCGCACGAGGATGCCTAATGGCGTAGAAAGCGATTGAAAGACCGGGTATATGTTTGAAACTCGAATCTCGTGTTAACAGATGCTACTGACAGTTGTGATAAAGTTATACTAATACAATCACCTAATCTTTTAACATAATAGCTATATCTCTGCATTCTAAAAAAAAAATTGAAATTAAAGAAATATAAACAGAAGTTTACCTCACGTACATCGTCATGTCTATCTTCCAGTCAATATGGCGTTTTCCTAAGTTCTGAGATCTAAGTTCTAAGATCTAACATCTAAGTTCGAATTGTTGCCTTTTAACTTCTAACTCAAAACGGCGTCAATGGGCTTCCGTACATTTATGTATCCATTATAATAATTGTTGCATTAATAGATTCAAAACAATCTGAAAGCCTTACCGTTATATTATTTAATTATTTTACATGTGCAAGGAGCGGGATGATACTTTTAAATTATACATCTACGTGAATACAACATATGTTATATACTATTAAATAATTATGTATCAGTGTGATCAGACATTACAAAACTTAATAATAATGGTAATAATAATAGATTGATGTCTCCATGCGCATGTACAGCAGGAATGCGAAAATTTAACAATGCGAAAATGTAACAATGCGAAAAACGAAAATGCAACAATGCGAAAATGTAACAATTTGAAAATGTAATAATGCGAAAAACCGAAAATGCGAAGAGACGACAAAGTTATACTTTGTCTTCTTTTTGTGTTTCCGCATTTTTGTATTTTGAACACGACGAAAAGCAAAAATACAACAGATTGAATGCGAATATACGACAGGTTTTATGTATCGTATTTTCGCCCTCCATTTGTCGTAATTTCGCTTTGTTGCCTCGAAAATCAGAAAAAGCGAAAACACGATGAGACGACAAAGTCCAACTTAGTCGTCGCTACGTGTTTTCGCATTACGTTGATGTCAATTTGGAGAGTTGAACATATGACACACTTTTCAGTAGAATACAACCTTTTTCTTACTTTGACATCAGAAAAAATGTTTATATGATGTTTAAAACAATAAAACTATATTGATATTTGCATTGAGTACCATTTTATAACTGAAGTTGTTTTGTTTTTGTTTTGACTAGATTTTTTATCAAGGTTCAACAACAAGCATATTTGAAGAGATACACGTAAAGATTAACAGAACACGCTCCTTGAATATGAAGAACAATCTCAGTTTTGAATGTCACTTTGTTATAGATACTGAGAACATCAATTTATATTTGTATCAAACGAGTAGTTTTATAACCTTTCTGTTGAAAATGTGTCGTATACATATGCGTACATGCACAGTGCGTTCAATAGAGTGAAGGTATTAATTACCCGCACTCCAGAGCATGCCCGTATATCGGCTCATCTATTATGGGGTTTACTTATTGTGACGGCAGAGAAAGTGGTATTGATAGTTTTCACTAAGTACCAAATTGAATTTACTAACGACCGCATCGTTCCAATGGCAGACTGTAAAGCAGTTTACCAGAACTATAGTTAACTTCACTTTCGCAAGGAACTAAAAGTTCTGTACGTACATGACAGAGCAGAGGTACAGTTTCAAACACTAAATCAAGTTAAAGTCCATCTAAAATAAGTGAATTCATATATACAAAAGGAAACAATACATTATTTATATATTAAAGAAACCGAAAGTATAAAAAATGCCAACCTGTTGACATTTAGTCGGATTTGTTTAAAATTGTACATCAGAGGGCATATTCAAATTTAAGGGGATTGTCAGACATATTTTCAATGAAAATTATACCGAAACAGACTTTATTTTCAAATATATACATTCGTTTTACATTATCTGTACATGAAAATCAAAAATGTTTTGTAATGTGAAGCTGATGAATGAGAATGTTTTTTATGTACTTTTGTTTTTATTGAAGGCTCGCAAAGTAAATCGTGTCATTACGCAGTAAATCCTAAAAGACACGGCTTATAACAATCCTTATTTGGAAACATTGAACTCCATTAATAAAAAACATCTGTGATGAGATGAATATATTTTATTATTATTATTATCATTATTATTATTGTTATTATATTTTTGTGTGTATTGATATGTTTGTATGTTTGACCAGTTGGTTTTAAGGTGGAAAGCTTGAATTTAAGGATGCGCAAAATTTTTGATGATTTTTAGGCTATTTCTATTGTGTTACCCAGTATGAAATCCTTCAAAAATAGCGGCTAGCTGTTGCATAATGAAAACTTTTACAGAAATAAAATGGAAGCGATCTCTGAAAACGAGAGTAAACATATATGTAGTAATAAACATTTCTTTGACGTTTCATCAGAATTCCTTCATGCGTTTAGGAGATATGCTCTGAACAAAATCTGTATATTTTATCATTTTTTGTGACCTTGACCTTACATACATTAACATTAATTACATGTTTCACACCCTTAGTCATTATACTGACCATTTGTGTTTCAATCCCTCAATAGATGATGACTACATGGTCCAAATTCACATTTTCTTATTTTCATTTGAACTTTGACCCCTGTGTGTGACATTAACCTTACGGACGGACGGACCTTAATTTTGCATGCAAAACTTCGCAAGTTATATTGACGTTCTTCTATGCATGTAGAAGTTTTGCTTCAGATAAGCGTTTTTTAAAGACCTCTAAATGTGATTTTAACCTTTGATCTGGAGACCTAGTTCATGCGCACGGTACTGCTTGTCAAAGTTGTTATCATTTCTATGAAGTTTTTTAGAGTCCCCCATGCATGTAGGAGATATGCTCTGGACAATATCTCTATATTTGATCGTCTTGAGGGACCATGACCTTGCATATTGATCTAAATTACATGTTTGACATATGTTGTCATGATAAATGACCATTCGTGTTTCATTCCCTCAATAAATGTTTACTTAATGGTCCGAATACACATTTCATATTTTTATCTGAACTTTGACCCCTATGTGTGAACTTATTCATAGGGACCTAAATTCTGCACGCGACACTCCGCCTCACAATGGTGACCATGTGTGCCAAGTTATATTGAAATGCCTTCATGCATGTAAAAGTTTTGCTTGCGACCTCAAAGTGTGACCTTAACTTTTGACCTAGAGACCTGCGTCAAGCAGGCTACACAGCTTCTCATAGTGGTAAAATGTCTATGAAGTTTCATTAAAATTCCTCCAGGCGTGTAAGAGATATGTTCCAGACTAAATTTAACGCCGCCCTTAGGCAAAACCGCCCTTTCGCCCACCAGGGGCGAAACTATAATACGACCCGTTTTTCAAACGGGCATATAACAAAAAGGACATCTAAAAGTATATTTCATCCTGAGTGGGCAAATAGATCGGGATATTTCTTTAGATCCGAAAGTTACTATATATATACAAACATCCACTCAATATTATGTTTATTGTGATGTAATACCACTAGCTAACTTAATTTTATCATCAATGTACATCTTCCGATTTAACGGTAGTGTTGTGACATTCAACGGCAAATAAATATTGTGCAACATTTAATTAACGTCACCATTGCGACGTTTAATGGTGGAAGGGAAGGGACAACGATAATGTTGTTACAACTTTTGGCCCAACCCGTTTGTATCTACTGTTGATTACGTTTGTAAAATTGTGAAATTGTATATTATAAGTTATTTATACAATAAACTATTATTTAACTAATCTAATAGTGGAAGATATTATTAGATTTATCGGTGCTATATCTTTAACAACAATGCTGCGACTATAGCGGCAAGTGCGACCTTAAGTGGCGTTGCGATATTATACGTTGCACTCGTGACCATGACCTAACTGACCCCTAACTCAATCGAAAGGAGAAACCCCAATTTTATGTTCCTAAAAGACATCTGACAATGAAATAAGATAAATACACCTAAAAAGTGTAAAATCCATTATTTAAATTGGTGACATTGACCCAAATAACCCCTAACTAAACACAAAGGAAGAGAATCTCTCCTTGCAGTTTGTTTTAAACATGAAATAAATCAACTTAAAAATAAGGCTGTATGAGCAAAAAAGTTTAAATTTGATTTTTACACCAGTGACATTGATCCACAAAATATTAGAATACAATTCAAGGTATCAACCTACTACATATGAAAGATATTATAAAATAAACGGAAAAAATTGAAAATGAATCCAACTTGCCAGAATAGGTTAACTATTTTCAAAGTAATTAAAAGTGAAATAACTGGAAAAAATGGATGGCACGGTTATATTTCTTGGCAATACCATGTACTTTGCATTGATCAGTACGTTTGGAAATAAAGAAGCCATTATTATAGATAGAACTTAAAATATATCCAACTTGCCGGTTTAAGTCAACCAATTATTCATTTTTAAAGTGCTGTGAAAGGCAATAAATTGGTAAAAATGGAAGCCATAGATATGTTACTTGCCCGGGTCATATACATTGTATTGTTTAGTAAGTGTGCAAATTATTAATCCTGTGGGATAGGTTGAACTTAAGAAAAAATCAACTTGCCATTTTATGTTAACCTCGCACGGACAGACGTTCGGACGGTTGAATTACTACATACCCGGGGGCATGAAAAAAAAATGTCACCACATCATACATGTTTCTATTGAAGTTTATATTATCAGTTTAACTATTAGATATTGCAATAATTATTACACTTTCATCACTCTGGAAACTATTGGTAAAGCTTTTATAAAATAACTAGTTTCTTTTTTAAATCAGATATACGAATTTGACAAAGTCGACAAAGAATCAATAGAAATAAAGCATGGCGAGAAAATACAACACGAGCTTCTAAACTGTGCATTTGGTTTCATTGAAAAAAGGTCCAGAGCAAACATCAAGGGAAGTTTTGAACTAATAATAAGAGAAGACAGTAGTGAAGAAATTCGCTTAATAGCTGGAGGAAAACAGCATAAATTCCTCGCAACATATGACAGCAACGGAAAACCAAAGGTACAATTTCTTTTAAAAAGCTTTTAAGTTGCAATTTATCTTTTATTGCATATATAATTTACGAAAACCTTTAGGACCAACGCCTAAATGTGAGTATGATAATGAAACAAAACACACAATCGCAACTGGAGATAATGATAAAACGACAATACGATAACGAAATTGCGAGTTTTGAGTTTTCGTTTTAGTACTTCGCTTTGTCGTTTTCGAACTCTTTTGCATTTTCGTTAACGTATTTTATTTTATGTTTTTTAGTGTATTACCAATTTATCCGTAAAAATCATATTTATATTTTATAAGTCCACATTTTAAAAGTCCACAGTTAAAATTGTTAAAATATATTTTTACATTTTCCAGTGAATAGACGACTTTTAAATGTTTCCCGCTGTTCAAGATATTATTGGCATATTTAAGTATCATACGAGCAATAAATTCATACATGAAGTACAGCATTGTTTTTGTGTAAGATGTAAATTCATTTCATGTCAAAAGCCACTGGTGAGAAAAGTATTAACTTATAGGCATCTACAAAACTGATATAATGATTTCCTTCAAGTCACTTTTTTGTTTTGCCAAGGGGTCACTTGATTTTTAAAGACTTGTATAGGAAATACATTTTAGTTTTATTCTGTGTAACTACAATGTTGAGAGCTTAGATATTTTGCACGTAGAAAAGTCTTGATGACCTCTACAAAACTGATATTAATCATGTTCCTTGGATTGATATTTGCCTTGCCCTTGTCCTGCCTTATATATGTGTGTAACTAAAATGCACATAATATTCGGATGGGGCGTCCGTGGCCGAGTGGTTAAGGTAATTGACTTCAAACCACTTGCCCCTCACCACTGTGGGTTCGAATCCCGACAGGGTCTTTGGATTCTTTCATATGAGGAAGCTATCCAGCTAGCTTACGGAACGTCGGTGGTTCTACTCAGGTGCCCGTTCTTGCCTGAAATAATTCACGCAAGATCGTCCTCCACCAGTAAAGCTGGAACGTCGCGATATGACCTATACTGTGTCGATGTGACGTAAAACCCAAAACAAAAACAAAACAAAAAAAATAATATTCGGCATGTAGCATTGCGTAGTCGACCCCTGCAAAAGTGTCGTAGATCATGACCCTTGTGCATCATGAGGTTCACATAGTTTATGTAGACTTATAAACACATCTTAAAAACAAAAAAGTATCTTTAAGAAAGATACTCGCCGAAGTAAAACTAGTAAGTTTTCCATGCAAAGTCATATTGAAATGTTAGCGTAGCTTGCATAACAATGACATAATAATTTATTGTAGGGTTAATAATCTTGAAAAAATGGAGTACCTTAAAGTGTATTGTTTCTAAACAAACCTGTCGTGTTTCGGTGGGTGAACTCAATTTTTAACACCAACATCTGCGCAGTCGGTAAAACAATTATTTAAAATAAATAAAATATATAAGAATAACTAGTATGAACATTATATTAATTGAACACACCAATTACACAGTATTGAACGTCATAATCTATGGGCACCTGATAAGTTCTGATAATATACTCGTTATTTTGGACAAAATGCAAAAATCAGATCTTATGAAAAATAAACTCAGTAAGTTCTTACGAAAAATAAACTGTTCACTAATGTAATGTGATCTGAATGCAAGAAGTATTGTTAAACAGAACTTAAATATCTGTGAAATTTTACTAGAAAAATAAAGAACTATTCTGTACATTTTATTTTTGAATCATTCTTTATATTTTATTTCATTATCACAATAACTGTCCTTAACATTTTAGTTTAGAACTATCTTAGACTGACAAGAACTATTCTTTACATTTTATTTTAGAATGGCCAATGGGATTCCCAGATTTCATTTTGTTATTTCAATATGACCAATGAAAACCTTTCTTGTATTCAGCTCTTCCCTATAATTTTTACAGGAAGTCAAACTTGTGTTTGACACCAGATGACCCATATTCGAACTTGACCTAGAAATCAACAAAACAACCTTTCTGACCAATTTCCAGGACATTTTGATAAAAAAGTAGCCTCTAGAGTGTTAACAATGTTTATACATGTTTTAGCGAGCTGTGTGACCTAGTTTTGACCTCCGGCGACCAATATAGAAATCATCAAAAGAGCCTCTCTTACTTTCCAGGATATTTGGACCAAAACAGTAGATTGTTGATGTTTTACCATAAAAGGGCTGTGTGATCTAGTTTTGACTCCAGACAATACACATTCATACTTGCACAGAAATCGTCAAAACAACATTTCTAACCAATTTCCTAAAGTAGCCTTTAAAGTGTTATTAAGGTTTTTATATATTTGAGCAGTGTAACCCAGGTATTTGACCTCAAGCAACTCATTTTCGAATTTTATTTAGAAATCACAACCTTTCAGATAAATTTCCGGGATATTTAGACCTAAACATTAGCCTAAAGAGTGTTAACAAGTTTTTTTTTTAATATTTGGGGCTGTTTGACGTAGTTTTTGACCTTAGGCCAACAGCCAATAAGTTGTCAGGTTATTTATCTTTTTTGACATACAAGGTAAATGTGACCTTTACCATTGACCCCCATGACCACAAAATCAAAAGGGGTGCTTTACTTGCCAAGTCCAATCCACCTACAAAGTTTTAGGGTCAAAGGCCCATAGCTTGTCAAGTTTGTAATCGGAAACTGTTTTTACCTACAAGGTCAATATAACCTTGATTGTCCCAAAAATCAAAACGGGTCATCTTTTTGCCAAGACCAATGCCCCAACAAAGATTAAGGGCCAACAGTCTATGGGTTGTCAAGTTATAGATCGGAAGTCGTTTTTACCTTCAAGGTCAATATGACCCTGACATTCGACCCCTTGACCCACAAATCAATAGGGGTCATCAACCTGCAAAGAAACCATTTTTAATTATAAGGACAATGTAACCTTGACATTTGACCCATTGACCGCAAAATCTATAGAAGTCATCGACTGGTTATAAACAATCATCATCATCATCATCATCATATACTGGTCGTGACCAATCATCCTACCAATTAAGCTTGAAGTTCTTAGATCTAAGCGTTCTTTAGTTATTATTCAGAAACCATTTTTAACTTCAAGGTCAATGTGACCTTGGCCTTTGACCCATTGACCCCAAAACCAATAAGGGTCATGTACTGGTCATGCACAATCATCACACCAAGTTTGAAGTTCTTATGTCTAAGCCTTCTTTAGTTTTTGATCGGAAACGATTTTTATTAAAAGGTCAATATTACCTTGACCATTGACCACTTGACTCCAAAATCGATAAGGGTCATCTACTAATCATGAACAATCATCATATCAAGTCGGAAGTTCCTAGGCCTAAGGGTTCTTTAGTTAATAATCGGAAACAGATTTTACCTACAAGGTTAATGCGACCTTGACCTTTTACCCCTTGACACCAAAATCGATATCGTCATCTACTGGTCATGAACAATCATCATACCAAGTTTGAAGTTCCTAGGCTCAAGCGTTCGTTAGGTATTGATCGGAAACCATTTGGTCTACGGACAGACCGACCGACAGACAAAATTAATGCAAAGCAAGATATCCCAAGGGGGCAAAATTACAAAAAGGATTTTTCTAACATGGTAAACGCTTCTATTTATAAATTGATCTAATGAAGATCTGGAAATGAACTATCTACATTCATAAAATATGATAAACAAGATCATCAAGGAAAGGCGGCGTTCAATGAACGCAGCCCCCACCCGACCCAGTAACAAGAGCCAGTAGCAAGGAGCCCAGGAGGACCCCAAACAAAAACAGGGAAGGGCATAAGGCATAAGTTATTTTGACTATCAAGTTAAATTTCAGATATTTTCTGTTTTACCATGCCTTCTCCTATACATATTAAGTTCTATATTTTTTACGATGCATCCTGCTACAGATTATTTTACACTGCTTTAGTGACTTATAAATTTTGTCAAACATCAACGATACCACCACTTACAATTACGTCCACGACCCCGTTTACTCATAGGCATGAAAAAGCCGAGAAGCACACAAAAAACGAACTTATCCGGTATCATCAGTTAATAATGTATGTGAAAAGGATACAAAGTTTATAATATTCATGTATTTTACATATACATGAAATAGTAAAAAAACAGAATCCCTAAAGAAAGCCCAACACGGCAAAATTGTAAAATATTGCACGCTCGGTTTGATTGAGCCTGTTCATGGACGGTACTGGAATGTGCAAGTTACCGTCCACACCCCTCTAGCACCGGCTTAAGCAGAATTCAACATTTAAACACAAAAATTGTGAATTTTGAATAGAAACATCCGCAGATATATTTATACGGCGATTATCATGAAACCTTCAATGAGACACAGTAGTGTCATTCCATGAAAAGCGGCGTATGGTCCCCAAGTAAAAGCATACGTGTGCCCTAAACAAGAAAACAATAGGCGGAACTGAATAAAATGGAATTTTGAAAGGGGTTCTGAGGTTATGAAGCCTGCATATCACAGACAAGACGTCAAAAGCCAAGTTTAAAAAGCAGGAAACATATCCTAAGGGTGATTATATAGTATTCAAGTAAGAATACTGGAACCACCCAAATTGAAAAAGGCCAAATACTAGAAACTAAAAATACCATCTAATATGTATACACAACAATAATGTCGTGCTGAACGATCTTCAAGGATCGAAAATAAAACATCATTGTTTTTATGTTACCGCTAACGATTGAATGCTTGTTTATAATAAATGTTTGTTAAAGTATTTTTAGTTAGAAAGCTTTCTTTTGGTTCTTTTTTTCGGATTTTAGGTTCCTTTCATTATTTGCAAAGGGGTTTCAAGTCTGTTGATTCGGGTTTGTATCAACAAAACGTTGTCATATATAATATTTCTATAAAAAAATCAATTTTATTAAACTTTAATGACATAAATGTTTTTCTTTGAGCTAAAACGACATTCACAGTAATAGAAATAACAGAATGACGTGAAAGTAAAAATGAACTTACACGAAGAAAAAATAAGTACAAAAT